GAGAGAGAGAGAGAGAGAGAGAGAGAGAGAGAGAGAGAGAGAACACATTGCACAGTTGTAAATTAGACTGGCAATTTCAGACAGGCTAGCCTACCTTTAGGTCCCTGGCGTCCAACTTTGCCATCCTTGCCTTCTTCTCCTGTGTCACCTCTTTCACCATCATCTCCTTTTAAAACAAAGCAAGAGAGAGTAGGTCATCTCAACTAAGGACTAAGTTCACTCTCCCAAGGGGAAGGAGACCATACACAAAATACCATCGTAACTTGGTTGTAACTATGTACTTAGGCCACAAGAACAGCTGAATAGAAAGGATGCCCATTGTAATCATCAGAGCAGCAGTGGTTACCTGCATTGGGCCCACATAAGAGTGACCATCAACAGTCTGTCATGGATGAGAGAGGGGCTCATGGATTCTTGATGCTTATTGCTGAACTCTTGGCTAATTGTAGATGCTAGGCTTTTGGAAGGGGGTCATTGTCTTTACCTTTGAGCACACTGCTGAGCCCACAAGACTCTAATAGATAGTTCCAAACTCATGGTTACCCAGAAGATTTTGGTTAAATTTAGTGGGTCAGAATGCTGGAAATAGAAATGAATGTGGGAAAAAGATTTGTGAGGAGAGGAGAGCGAGAAAGGGGTGGGAAGGAGTTAGATGTTAGGGCATTGTTTCATTGTAGCATCATGTAACCTGTGTCTATGAAATTGTCAAATATCTAATTAGTAAATAAAAAAGGAAGTTGCAGGATATCTTCTCCTCTCAGCATTGGAGAAACCCTGCAATTTGAGGCATGGACTGGGAAGCTAAGAATAGGAGACTAGGAATGACAAAGAGCTGACAAGCAGCTGTATGTGACAATGACTGCCACAGCCGAAGACAAGTGGACCTTAACAACTTATACTGATTGAATGGATGTTTTACTGAACCATGTACTGAAATGGACTATGAGTTGGAAGGCACAGATTATAATATGCTAGTGACTAATAGTTTGAGCAATTCTTTGATAAGTTGCTGATGCAGCTTATTGATTTTGGAGGAAGACAAGTCCAGAGTTGAGTCCCAGTAACTGTTCTGAGAAATATACACATATGGCCATCTTTTCTGAGCCTTACTTCTTTTCATGACAATTAAAATAATTTAAATAATAATATGTGGGCTACTAAGAAGTTTCCATGGACCAATATACACAGAAGACAGGGACACAACTTGTATGTAACTATCATGGCCACTGTTACTCTCTCCCATACTCTGTGTTTCCTTATCATTAGTGTGGGGTATTACTGCCCTCCCTGAGTTGTCCAGTTGTTTTAGAATCAACAACGTAAGAATGCGAATGTGCTTTGGAAATAAAGAGCTTAACACATACCATGTTGTGAGTATATACCCACATTGTCACCATGGCAATCTCAGGACACTGAAAGCATGAAGAATGATGGAAAAGGAGATTGCAGGCTGTGAGATTATCCAAGCATCTAGCTGTTTTATAAGGCTGACTACAGGATCCTTCTGGAGCTGGCTTTAACAAAGATGCCTAAATGATTTCTGTGGTCAGACTAGAGGAGTTGAGTTTGGACTAGATGGTGTTTTCCAGTGCCAGGGGTGTGCTTATTTAGCAAGGTTAATATATGCTGTACACTTGAGCTAAGGACTTTGACATGCTGTTGTGATAATTCCAGAAGGTAGAAACTATTCTCACTCTATTCATAAATTAAAACAAAAGCAAGCAAAAACAAAAACAAAAACAAACTACCAAGATGCTGTGTGGTTACGATACTTCTGAATTATCACAAGACTCTGAGCATCCCAGTGAGAATTCTCCCATGTATGGGAGAATTTTCTACGCTCCTCATATAAATTTGACATATCCACCATAGGCTTCAGTAGCTCCTACCAGATAGTAGATTTTAGGAAACTTGACATTTGTCAAAGTTTTCAGAAAGACAGGAGAAAGTTACCAGGAAAAATAGGACAGTTTGTATTACATTCTAAACAAGGAAGGTAGTAGGAATCATGTTAGTAGTCCAATGACTTAATTCATATAGAATGTATTCCAGAGGTAGAATTTGTGAGACCTGGCTTTACAGTTCTCTGACTGAGCAATTCTGCATACAGGGAGTCTCTTTATCTTTTTGAGTATCGTTCACTCAGTGGTAGAATGGACAAAATAATTTTGTGTGCGTGTGTGTGTGTATGTATGTGCTAGTGCACAGGCACATGAGTATGTGTGTGTGTATGTGTGTGTATGTGTGTATGTGTGTGGGTTTTCTAGAAGATTTATCCTCCGTCTTTTCATCTGTTCTTTCCTTTATTTCCTCATTTTTCACCCAATGTGACATTATATTGAAAATTATTATCTTCTCTACCATTAGAAGACTGAGCTAAATTCTTCTGGTTAACTTTTTATATGTCAGCTCATCTCTGCTTAGAGCTCACATTCAGTCCTCTGAGAGCTGTGAGATAGGCTGCCATCCTAAATAAGCTTTTGTTTGCACACAGAGAATTTAGCACAGCCTAATGCTTGAAATGGGCTGGAACTGGTTATACTTTGTATAAACCGCATGACACTTTACAAATGTTATGATAGTGTTATTAAATATTATGAGGCAAAGTGTCCATTCTACCTGACATGTACTCTATCATTTGATCCCTATGACAACCGTTTAGGAGGATGCTATTCTCAGCTCCATTTTACAGATGAGGGAATGAGGTCAAGCAGAGGTGAGGCCACATCTATCTGGTTACAGCATGTACAATGGCAACATTGGGATTCACATTTTGGGTATTTTCCCTCAAAGCCCATGTTCTGCACAAGTGGAGTGATTTTAAGTGGATTTTTATTCCCGAATTTCTGGGACCTGGATTGTGGATCCGTGCAGTGGGACTAAAGAGACGATTCCTGCTCAATAGAGGGCAAGGTCATAAAGCCACATGGGTGTGAATATTGGTACTATTATTTTTTCCTTTCTTTCCTCCCCTCCCTGGGATCTTTCTTATTCATTTCCAAGCAAGCCTCTCACTGGAGGAGGGAAGGTGAGTGATTCAGTCATTTGCTGCTCCCTGGTGGCTTCTGATGAAAGATCCTGGAGGACAGAAACAGGATTATGGTTCTTGTGACCTATATGGCTGCACCAGCTTGCCTGCTAAAGCTGAAGTAAACAACTTGTGCCTTCAGCTCCTACTCTGGTCCTGGTTATTTAATCTTTGTGAATTACTTTAGTGAGAACAGAAGGGAGACGTGAAAACAATCACTGGAAAGGGGCGCCACATCTCAATGTTGTCTTTTAGTCTCTTTAAAAAAATAGCTACTAACATTTTTTTTTTTAAAAAAAAACAAACTAAGCTGGTTATAATAGATTAATTCTAAGTTTCTAAAAATTATTTGTTGAGTCCCTCTAGGCCATCATCATAGTGTAATTATCTCGCCAGCAGAAAGCCACTATAGCTTACAGTTGACCTCTGGGTTTTTTTTTTTTTTGGTAGGATTTATTTGAAATGAAATAGCTGAACTCAAGTATGTACCATGAATTTAAATGGCGTAAATATGTAAAAGAATGACTATAATCATTTTGGGAATGCTAAGTAAAATCACTGGAAAACGTATCCTTTCTAACATTAATCTTAGAGACAGGAGAGACGTTGTTAGCAAACTCCCTGATCACCTTGAGAACTGGGTGGGGCATGTGGCCTGAGACTCCTTGCAAGGATATAATCTGACCTGAAGGAAGCTCCTCACCCCTCATTAAATTTTGTTTCCAAATTTGCCAATTCCATCTCCTGCTTTGAAGCTTTCAGTAGAAGGATGAGCCTCAGGGATACGGAACCTAACCTGCTCTTTCTCTTCTCCAGGTACTTTGCTGAAAAATGTGATCCTTCTCGGGATTTGCAATTGTTTTCCTCGCTCATGTTTATCTGTTTATCATTCCCTCAGTGTCTTCATTTGCCTTCCCATCTACCCCAAGTTCTGTCAGCTTGATCCCGTCTATACAGCTTTCTATGAGGCACAGGGAGCAGATTTAATTGTTGAAAATTTTCATCTGCATGTTTTTTTACTTCACACTATAAAAATTTTCACATGCTTAAAGATGAAGGACAGATATACCAGTACAAAGATATAGCTATTATCTTATTGTCACTACCTTAACTATCTTTTGCTGATTTTTTTAAACATCCAGTTACAGACATGACAACATATCCTCCCTAAACATGTCAACAAACGTCTAAAGGCTAGGAACAGGCTCCTATGTAAGCACATCACTAGTACAACAATATTGTATTTTATTCAAGTACTTGATAAGATCTGGTTCATAGAACTCTCGTGGTCCCACTTATCATCTGTCTATATGATTATGCTATTACTGTGTTATCTAATAAGAAAAAAAATGAACAAGAAGCCAAAAATTCATTGGAGTTAATCTGAGTTCTTTGAAAACAAATCATGAATGATAACGACATTTTTCTTTTCTGTTGAAAGAACTACTAATAGACTAAAGGGTCTGGGGGAAGGCAATTTCCTACTGATCATTTATAGAAAGCAATAATCCTGAGAATAAACTGATTATGTTCATAGGATCGAATATTACATACCAAGAGTCCCAGCCCCCATCAGATCTCGTACCTACTGCTAGAGTTTAGATAGAGAGAGGACTCCTGTAGTACATATCTTAAAGTCTTGGAAGGTGGTGAAACCTTTAGCTGTTGGGGAGTAGTATGAAGTCCTTCAGTCATTGGGGATATTTTCTTTCATGAGGCTTAGGAATCTAGTCACTATTTCTTCTTTTGCTTCTTATCCATGAACTAAACAGATTGCTTTTCCATTGCCATGTTTGTCACCACTTGTAGCCAAAAGTAATGGGTTTGCTCTAACATTAAGCATTGAAGTAACATTCTGTTACAGTTATGGAAAGTTTATTCTTCCAGGCTTACGGTACAAAAGAACAAGTTGCATGTTAGTTAACTGGGACTCTTGACCTTAAGTAGGAAGGTTGTTCCAGAGAGATATTACAAGATAGATAGCAATGTTTTAAGAATATGTGAGTTTGTATTATCAATTCATGAAAAATTTAAGCATGGACAATGATAATTCAAAATATTGATGAGCTCTGAAATGTCAGTATACAGACTTAGGTATCAGGAAAGAATGGATTCATGCTAGATCCACATGCCTGAGC